CGGAGACAGCCAGGTTCGTGGTTTCCTATCTTCGTCTTCCCTCAACCCCCATCTCCCACCAACTAGCCGTTGACCAAGGCCCCCACCCTCTTTGTCGACCGACCATCTAATCTCCCACCACCCAATTCTCCCCACACCAATCCCTCCCTCACCCGCCAGCCCTAGCCCTAGCCGTCGGCCTCACCTCTTTCCAATCATTCTTTGGTTTCTTAATTTGGGTGAATGCAATTTGGAATTAATTTGAAATTCAAAAATTCTTTCCTAATTTAGTTCACCTATTTTAGGAAAGTACTTAATTTAATTCAATTTGAATTTTAAATTCAAATTGGATTTGTTTATTTACTTTCCTAATTCTTAAAGTTAATTTAGGAAGCCTTAATTCCCCCCATGAAATGCTCCCTTGCCCATGCATGCCGCCGGCCCACCCATAGGGATTTGGGATTTATTTTCTAAATCCCCTCTAGCCCTTATTGGAAGTATTTCTAAATTTCATCTCCGCCTCCTTAGCCGATTTTCCCTAATCCCCTTTTTATTTATTTTGTTTCCAAAGAAAGCCCTCCTAATTTTGGAATCAAATTAAAATCCCTCCCTCTCTTCATAGCCGCCGGCCCCCTCTCTCTCTCTACCCGACCCCCCCCCCCCCCCCCCCCCCCTCTCTCTCCACTCCTCTCTCTCATTAATTCTCTTTCCCCAATTTAGGGAGATTAATTTTCCTCCTAATTTCTCATCTCTTAATTCTCAAAATATGAAATTTATTTCAGTTTTGGGAGGGAAATTCCTCCTTGCCTCCTCCCTAATTCGAGTTGAAGAGAAACTTCTTTCTCTTCAACAACGTTCAAAGAGTGCTAGCTACTTGGGAAGACGTCGTTCACTAGCATCCATGAATGGCCGATCCCGACACTGAATACGGACTCGAGTACGACAAACACGGCTTCATGCACATTCTCCATTCAACTTTCTTTGACGTCATCCCGAGGATCGATCATACCGTTGAAGTTTTCATCGAACGCATCTTGGATACTTTGGTGGAAACTATTGAATAACAGTTAGAGATCTTCGAGTGGAGGATCGCCGCCGGTCCTTGACGAAGGTTCTCTAATCCTCTTCTTGTGTTTCTTAAGTCCAACCTTTTTTTTTGTGAATTAATTGAAGTCACGAAGGATGCCTTCGCCTGCTTCTTCTAAGCTTAGTAAACATAGGGATTTGAGTGTACCTCTTTGCTTCTATCTCTCATTGTTAGACTAGGAATTTTTATTGAAACTACTATTCTGGCATGAAGTTGTTTTCTAATTTATTTTGAAGTTTCAAATCTCTGGTTATGTGACTTAGCATAAGCGGGCGTAACCCCTCTTGCGTTTTATTCTGTTGTTTTAAATGTTTGTAGTTTTCTTCGTTATTCTCTAATTAAAAGTTGTGCAAGATCTTACAAAATTCATTGCATTCATATGTAGTTCTACATCAGAGTGAGTTAGTATTCTTAGCTAAAATGGAGATCTTAAATAAGGATGTTCAGGCATTACAGAATGTTCTAGCTGTCTTTGAATTTTCAGATGTATTTTTTAAAGAATTACCTAGATTATCACTTGAAAGAGAAGTTGAATTTAACATAGAATTACAATCAGGAACATCAGCAATTTACAAATATCTTATATGATACATCCAAAAGAATTGCTTGAGTTAAAAACTCATTTATAGGAATTGATGGATAAGGGATTTATTAGGGCTAGCCATTTACTTTGGAGTGCATGCGTACTTTCTATTAAGAAATAAGATGAATTCATAAGAATGCCTATTGACTATAGAGAGCTGAATAAAGTGACTATCAAGAACTAATATCCATTACCTCGCATAGATGACTTGTTTGATCAGTTAGCAGGTGCCGCAATATTTTTTAAAATTGATTTAAAATTAGGGTATCTTCAAGTGAGGGTTAAAGAAGCAGATGTTAGTAAGACAACTTTTAGAACCAGATATGATCATTTTGAGTTCAGAGTCATGCCTTTTGAGTTAACAAATGTTCTTGCTATCTTTATGGATATAATGAATCAAATTTTCAAAGATTATATAGATCAATTTGTAATTATCTTCATTTGATGATATTATGATATATTCAAAGGCTGATAAGGAACATGCAGAACATTTAAGGATAGTTTTGGACACCTTAAGGAAAAATCAATTGTATGAAAAATATTCAAAATTTGAATATTGGATAAGGAGTATTGCCTTCTTAGGGCATATTATCAGTGGTGAAGGAATTTGAGTAGACTCATAGAAAGTGAAAGCAATTGTGAAATGACCTACATCAAAAAATGTTATAGAGGTTCTTAGCTTCTTATGATTGGCAGGATACTACAAGAGGTTTGTTAAAGAATTTTCGCAGATTGTTATGCCGTTGTTCAAGCTAATGAGGAAAAATAGAAAATTTGAATGGACTGCTGAATGTCAATTTATGCAGAATCCAAAGCAAGTTCATATGCAAGCGGTTGACAGTATATTGCACTACTTTAAAGGAAACACAGGAAAAGGTATTCTCTTTAAGAGAGATCGTAGAATAACCCTAGAAGTATACACGGATGCTGACTATGCAGGATCACCTGTTGACAGAAGATCTACCTCTGGATACTGCACATTCCTTGGAGGTAACTTAGTTACATGGAGAAGCAAGAAACACAATGTTATGGCAAGATCCACTGCAGAAGCAGGATATCGAGCTAAGGCCTTGGGAATATAAGAGCTACTATGGATCAAAATTGTAAAGCCTATTTTTCTCCCAAGATCGTCCGGGACAAAGTTGGATCGTCCCGGGACGATCGGTACAGGTTGTGCTGAAATTTTGGAGACTGAGCAGTTCGTCTGGACGATATGTTGGATCGTCTGTATGAAAATTTTATAGAGCCCGATCGTCCAGGGACGTTAATTAATTTCGTCTGGACGAAATTCGTCCAGAGCCAAATCGTCCCGGGACGAAGTTGCGATCGTCCAGGACGATTAGTCTGGATATATAAGAAAATGAGATATTTTGAAGAGAGAGAAAAGCCTAGGAGAGAGAAAATCGAAGGAAAAAGAAGAAAAAGTGATTTTTGGGCGACTTCGGTCCGTTTTCGTCCGTTGCTGTAGTTAAAGAAGTTGACCGACTCGAGGTAAGGCACATTCCGCCTTTCTCAAGAAGAAAGTTCTGAAACAAATTGCAAAGCCAGATCCTGGAATCAGTTCAGTCAGTTTGAGTTTGGGCTCGACCCGATGCGAGCGGGATTCGTCCCGGTCGGGTTGGGTCGTGACAAGAATAATCCTAGAAGACTTAAAGGCTAAGTGGGATGAGCCCATGAAGCTACATTGTGACAACAAATTAGCAATCATCATAGCCCACAATCCAGTCCAGCATGACAGGACCAAGCACATAGAAGTGGGCCGACATTTCATTAAAGAAAAACTAGACAATGGTCTAGTAAGTGTCGACCATGTATCATTAAGGGATCAACTTGCAGATATCCTTACCAAATGATTGGACAGTTCTGCCTTTCTCAGAATGATTGACAAGCTGGGAGTGACATATCCATATTTCCCAGCTTGAGGGGGAGTGTTGAAATCCAGTCGTTCCCAGTGCAAGGATCCGACGGACACAAAGATCAATCCGTGGGATGCTCTCATGGATCACGCCATAATGGAGGAATGAATTTAGGAAAGATTTTATTAGAAATTTTATGTAATCTATTATTTCCTCATTTACATATCTTGTATAGATCTATAAATAGTGAAGATAGTAATGAATAAAGCAAGCTTTTCCCTCTCGATTTCCCGGTTTTAACAATATCTAAACTTATAAGTCTTATTTGAGGATCTTTATTATTTCAATATACATTATCTATTCCTTAAATTTATTCATATATTGAGTCACACTTTTTTTTTCGTTGTTTTTGCATTAAATTCTATAAATAATCAATCACAATATGATATTGGAATTTTTCCAGTATTTATTTCATTTCAATCTAAGTAGTTGTAGTTTCTCTACCCAGTCTTTTTTTCTTTCATACTCATCCAATATATTTTAGCTTATCCAATTTATTTTATTGAAGTAAATCTTATTTGATGTTCATTGAACATAGTTTGTCATAAGAATTATCCATATTTATATCCCAATAAAAAACCCTTAGGAATTATTTTGATATCAAATGTAATTTCTTCAACTTTCATGTTCTTAGTTATGTCATCATCTAAATCATTTATTTGGTGTCGATTATTACCCTAGGCCTCATTGTTGTATACCCTACAAGGTGTCTAGGTCTATTTAGATTAACCATTTTACTATGAATTTCATGTCTTTTATCCAAGTTAACAGTCAAATGGACTAGTTTGTCATTAGAATTTATCAACTTATAGCCCATGATGTTGAAAATAAGTAATTTTAAAAATTTTAATTCAATCTTTAACTCTATTTATATCCTCTCTCAATTGTTTTTGTTTATTTAGCAATTAAATAATTATTTTTTACAAATATCTAAAGTTCATTCCTTTGGTGTTCCATTAAATTACTCTGATATTTGCTGTAATTCTAGCTGACATTTACTCAAGATCTGCAATTCAATATCAAAACAACTCAATCATTCATAAACTTCACTTTTTTTCTCACCCCCAAAGTTTGAAGGATGGGATTTATTATGGCTAAGGCGAGGGTCAATCCCAATATCTTGGCAACAATTTCAAGGCCCTTACCAATCAAACTAGCTGTCGTCCATGATTCTTTATTACTTCAAAAAAGGAAATAAAACACATTAGATTGCAAACCACATAGACAATTGTCAAATATTAGCTATTTCCTTTGGTACTCGGAATCTATTTCCAGAATATGCGAACAACTTCAAAGAGCAACCCATATATGAGATGTTAGATGTTGTGGTCAAATATTAGCCCTTTTTTTCTCTGAAATATTAGCCGTCTTAAACTGCTAATAATGATGTGGCTGGTGGTCTTTGCAATTTTGATGCATTATCAATTCCTTTCAGGTAAGTTAAGGTGTGCAAGATTGAGACAAATCTCTGGCGATCTTTGCTCGTTTTTCATCAAAATTAAGTGCAATAATACCATTTCTGAAAGCAACTCCGGAGCTCTGACATCAGTAAAAGCAATTTCAATCCATGTGCTGTCTCAGAAGCAGTTTTTGATATTGGATTCTGTTGGAGATTTACATCTCCTGACCCTGCATGGTACTTTTACAGCATCGGAAGTTCGTGCTGATTCTTCTTCGAAGTATGCTCAAATGTACTGTTTGGATGTGAAGATGAAAGTGCAAGTGTTGGCGGTTCCTCCAGACATTTCTGCAAGTAATGTTTTTTTCCTTGTTTCAACAAGTTTTGAGCTTGTATTTGGTTTTGTGGTAGCTGTCAGTGTCTCTATCCTGTTTCAGGACCAGAATTTATTTGGATATCCGATGGAGCATATTCGGTGTACATGATGTCTATGGCCAATATTGGATCTCCTGAAAAGGGTGGAGAGAAAGATGATAAAAAGGAAAAGTCTACCCTACTCTCAGGTACCTGCAATCTATATCAGTATTATTACATTTATCGAACTTGGTAAAACTTTCCATCTCGTATTGGCAGTAATTTGATTATAGAAAATTATTTTGTGACCGCCCACTTAATTGTAGGTAATACCAAGCAGAAGATGCCAAGATGGAGATAGAGATGCTTTCTACTGCTTTTTTTTTTAAGCTTCTAAAAATTGATTTAAGTCTTCACTGTTGTTTATTGTGCATTTTCATTTATTAGTTTCCGTTTCTTGATCATTGATGCTAATTGGTTCGACCATGCAATATCCATCTAGCTGCTCAAGTCATTTTTACTAGTGAGAAGGTTCAGCACATTATAGCTCTTTCTGCCAAGGCAATTCTGGTTCTTGGCCAAGGTTAGATTCTAAGATGTTTGATCCTTACTTTCTGACCACATTATGTTGTTTTAACATTCGAACTACTTATTATAGTCATAATAATTAGATGAAATATTTAATTTTCACTCTGCATATTCTAATCATAACAATTAACTTTTTGAAATTACAATCGGCTATTTTTTCTATTTGATATAATTTATTAATGTTTGCTTGCAGGAAACATATTTGCATATTCAATATCTTGAAAGAGTGAAAATTATGGCCGTAAGTTAGTTCTCCTACTGTCAGTAGTTGGCAATTTTTTTTCCTTTAACATTAATTTTATTTATATTGATATCAAATATGGTTAATTTGTGATAGACTAACTAAAATGCATCTTTTTTTAGTTATGGCATGTTTTGAATTGTTCAGTTTGTTGGTATTGTTTATTGCATCCACCGCCCATTAGCATCCAAGCCTGTTGGATGAACATTTGATTGCGATAACTACTAGCTGTATTTCACCCCATTCTTTTGTTGTATTAATTGCATGCTAATTTCATGAGATCGCACTTATTTTGAAATGATAAACAATTAGAAATTTTTTTGTTACAACAGAGTTTTCAACAATTGTTCTACATTGACTTGATTGAAATTGGTGCTGGTTTTGATCGAAGATGGTAAGCTACCTCACGTTTGCAAGGTCAATTCTCCTGATATGCCTGCTTTTCTTGCTGAATCTTCTTGATCTTGTTTCAGAGTTTAAGAAATTTGAATATTAATCTACTTGGCTGTCAGGCAACTTTGCCACTTACAAGGATGCTTTTTAGCGACGAGTCAGAAGTTGTATGAGCTACATTCTTTTTCACTTCAGCCTGAATTTTATAACTTCAAGGAGATTGATGAAGCTCAAAGGTATGTTTATATCATCTAATATCATCATATGCAGGATGAGAGATATATATAAAAAACAAAACTTTAGGTTATTTGAATCCTTTTGTTTTGCATTTCTTATTTGAGAAAGCAAAAATTATTTTTCGCTCAACTCGTCAGTTGTTTTTGTGTTTGCAACTATTAAATTACCTTTCTACTTGAGATTAATGATTATTTTTTTTTAAACTTCTTTTAATGGATAAACTAAATTGGCGTTAAGCCTTGCAACAACTTTATGCCAGTAAGTGTTATATTAATACTTTTTTTCTAATATTACTTAAAGTTACTGTAATGGTGTACCTTATGTTAAAATAAGATAATGATATATTAACTAATTTCAAATAGATGATATTATTTAATCAAGTGTTTTTGTAGTATAAATTGAATTTTAATGACTGGTAGTGATTAATGAGTTTAATTCATTTGCACTAAGAGTTTCTAATTATATTTAATATGAATGTAACTAAATACATATTTTTTTAATATTATACACTAGCTTTGATTTATAAAATTATCTAACTAACTATAAATAAATTAATTATAGTGTATATCAAACTCAAAATTATTATTTTTGCATAATTTATTAGCCTTGTAAATTACTCAATTACAGTTTAATTGATATGAGCATTACTCTATCATCTAGTAGCAGCACAAATTCTTTTCTTATTATCAGCTTTTATGTCAATTTAAAGTATCACATTTGTTTTCAATATTATGTGTATAATTTTTAATATAATTATCTGAGATTTTTCTTTTAAAAGATGCTTTTATAATTGATCTGAATTGTTTATCAAACAAATAAAATTTCATAATGTCTAATTCATAAAATAAATCATTGTAGCTATTTTCCCCCTGCTACTAAATTTACGAACACACAAAATAAATAACGGTAATATGCTTTTCTGTTACTATAGATTTGATCACCAATTCTATCTGCAGCGTAGCTTGTCAGTTTTGAGCGTTCATTAACACTGTTCTATCATATAACAGAAGTTCCATAGGCCAGCAGGTTATGACTTTATAGATGGTTGATGCTGCTGGATATAACTCTCACATCCATAACGTTTGAACTGAATGAGAAGGTGAGGTGCTCAAAGGATATCCAGATGAACCTCCAGTGCTTGGTCCACTGCTCCAATGAATAATATGTGAGTTTATTGTTATTATGTAATGAATTATTTATCATTCTTTTCTTTAATGTTTTCTTTGATGATAAGATTATAGATTACTCTTGTTTTATGCTTTGTTGTTTGGCTGTAATCATTGGATCATTGTATCTTAATAATTCTCTATTGTTTTTCGACTGCTTGATGTTGTATTTCCTTAGTCTGGAACAGTCACATATTTGTCAGGCCCGGATGATAACTCTCTGTTTTTGTTTATTTCTGGAATTTTTTCTCAAAACGCATCACTTTTCCTGCAGTGACAGTCATAAATTTGTTTTTTTTATTGTTAATAGATTCTTTCTATTGTTAGAGAGAGTTGAGTTAGATGGTTTGGTCACATAAAACGGCGGCTTTCCGATGTCCTGGTTAGAAAAATGAATGTATTAAATTTAGCTTATGTTAAAAAAGGTAGAAGTAGACCTACAGAGACTTAATTAGAAAATATTAGAAATGATCTTTCTTTTTTAGATTTTAATGAGAATTTGACTTTGAACAGGATACAATGGAGGAAAAAGATTATGTAATTGATCCCGCTTAGTGGGATAAAGGCTTGTTGTTATTGTTGTTGTAATAGATTTTTTCTTTTGTATTTTGCTTTGATATTTTGCATGGCTGCAGTGAGGGATAGAATTCCAGGAGCTGCCCCTGTTTGAATTTCTAGCATTCAGCTTGATTTTTTTTTTATTATTATTTTTTCTAGCATTCAGCTTGATGTTATTAGTAATAGTAATAATAAATCCATGCGTAGGACTTTTAGATAGAAAATATTTAATAGAATCGAATGGAATTAGAATAATAACATAATTAGAATTTAATGGAATATAATATTATATTATATATATATATATATATATATATATATGATTTTACTTTATTGATATAATTTTCTAATTGTTGTTATTGATGCTGCTGTTTTATCACATTATATAATTCTTTATTGATTGATAATATTGATTCGATGACTATTTCATTAATTTATTATTCATATTAAATTATTATCTTCTCAACTGTACTAGCTTTTGTAGTGCATTATTTTATCATTTACAGATTTTAGTACTATTGCATGTGAGTTTTACCATTTATGTACTGATTCATGATCATATAAATATTACTATTTAGCTCGAACAAACATGAACCAAACTTGAACAAGCTGATATTAAATGAACACAAACATGAACACTCACATACTCGGCTCGGCTCGGTTCGTTTGCAGCCCTAAATATGAATTTAATTCATAAACTCATATTTCATGATTATTGAAATTAAAATTAAAATAATTTGGCCTTTTCTCATGCAGGTTAGTAATTTATTGCTGCTTCAAATTTTGATAAATTATCGAGGGTCTATAATACAAAATATATTATTTATTTTATTTTTTAATGTTGTTTTTTCGGATTAAAAAATAGTGTTCAAAATTCAAATATATAGACTTAATATCACATTTAAGAACGATATATATAGATAATAAAGCTGCTGTATTTAGTCTTACAAAAATAAAATAAAAAAATGCAACTACAAATCATACTCTCTCATCACATTCTTTTACAAAACATACTCTACTATAGTCACATCAAATCACATTGTTTCGACTCTGCCATTATTATATCTTTATAAGAAAACAAAGTTAAATATCTCAAACTTAAAGCTGCAGCTACAGTACCGCGTGAGGAGTCCTGCAGACAAGGGTCTTGAGATTGTGGCCTACTTGCCAAGAAATAAGGTGGGAAAACAACCCATGGAAGGCGGGAAACTGAAATCGAGCGGCTTGAAAAGCTCATCATAGTGTCACGAGTTGAACTCAAGCTCGAGTTCTAGCTTGGGATTTGACTCGCAAGTTAAGCTCGAACAACCTCTAACTCGGGCTCAACTCAACTCGTTTATACCACATGTAGCCAACATTTAGAGCAGGTCTCAATTTGCCCCAACTTTATGTATGGTGAAAATGTTTGAAAATGCAATTAGAGTTTAGACACTTTTAATTAGTTTCTAATGCAATACATACTAATTAAATTGTTAAAATGCATAGCAATTAAAAAAAGGCTTAAAATTAATTTTTTTCTAGAGATTGCACAACAATTTCTTAATAGATTAGCACCCTAATATGTCACCAAAACTCGCAGGCAGGGAGGTGTCAAACAAGGAGGAGAAAGCGGTCCTAACTTTACTTTTTAGAGCATTAGAGTTTCTATGTGAGCCTAAATTTTTTTATTTACGTATAAAAGATTTTGTTAATAGTACCCTCACGAGCTCCGATCGTTCCAGGCTAAAACAAAATACGACATGGAATTAAAAAAAACTCAAAAAGTAGGTATTTCTAGTGCGCAAACAATGCAAATAAATTAATTAATTAAATAAATATCCATAGGCAAGTGCCCTTTACAACCCAGAATTTACATAAATTAAAAGTAGTCAGGTACCACTGACAACATCCCTAGTTTTAATCTTATGACTGACGCAAGTGACTTCGAGTGGGATACTCTTCATCTTCACTCCTTACTTTTTCTTCTCTTTAGGCTCCTTGGATTTTTCGTGTCTGAATATTCAAATGAAAAGAAACTTCCTCGTAAAAGAGTGTTTTCTTTTCTCTTTAAATATTTGAAATCATCCTAATTGTGGATATTCAAATAGAAGGAAACTCTCCCCTAAGGATGTTTCCTCCTCTTTGGGCTCCAAGTTGGATGCTTGTATCCTAACTCAAAGACTCACTTTCTCATTTTACAACTTAATTAAATTACATCAAAATTCAAAATAAAAATTTAGACTCCCTACAAGATTATCCTAAGTAATTAACCTAAGTAAACATCATAAGTAGTTATATATTTGCATAAGTTAAATAATAGCCAAACTAGGTCATGCTCTTTTAAATTTTAAGGGGGCTTTAGCAATTTGCACATGCATAAAACTTTATTAATTTAAATTTTATTTTTTCCCCTTTTATTTTAGCCCTATATAAGTATGGGCACCTGCAAAAAACTCTATGAGCATCCAAATAATTCCTAACCTAAGAGTAATCTATCGCATATCACAACAATTTACATATTGCATAATTAAATAAACACTCACATCAATCAATCAATTTTCAACCAGCATGAAATGAAACCTCAAAAAACCCTACATATAATAGTAGAAAAGTAAACACTGGCCTAGCCTATAACTAGAGTTAGTTGTACTAACAAATTATCTAAAATGTGTGCAGAAGGTTGTGTGGCTTAGATATGTCCTAAATTGGATAATTAGTTAAAGTTATATGCTATTTTGATTGGTTAAAAGGCTTAAGTGATTTTAAGTTAAGTGTAAGTATTAATGATTTGAGGTTAACTTTATAAATGTATTTTAAGGATTAAATGGTTACTACATTTGTTTACACCAGAGTCATAAAGTTTATTTCACTATCCTGATGACTAAGTTAATAGTCTCGTAAGCCCTAGTTATTTAGTAGTAACATGTATTAATTAAGTAATTTAATTGGTCAAGAGTTAAGGATTGAAACTTTTTAATTAAGTTATTTCATTGATGGTTTTAATAATTAAATTAAAATTTTGGAATTTTAGGTTTATTATCAAATTTTTTTGAATTATTTTAATTCATTAAATTAAGGGTCAAAAGTTAACTTTTTAAATTAAAGTGAATTTTGAAGTTTCAATATTTTTAATCAAATATTAGATCCTAAGATGAGTAATTAGATTCTAAGTTTGCTAAATTTGGAATTTTTTATAATAAGTTATAATTTTTTGAGTTTTGATCTAGATTTGAACTATGATTGACCGGAAGGTTGACATTTTGAATTTGACTTATTTTTTAAGGTTCGCTATTTTTAGAAATATTAAACCTTACGTGAAATTGAACAGCTTTGAGTTTAGTCAAATTAGAATTTTCTAGGATAACTTATGATTTTTCAAAATTTGGGTAATTAAATGAATTTTTAAATTGTTTAATTAGAAAGGTTTTGAGGATTTTGATCCAAATAAATCCTAAACTCCTTGAAATCTCCCTGAAAGGTTAAAAATAACCTAAGGGGATAATTCCAAGTGTTCAAATTTTTTTTGAAAATTTTAAATATTTTAATTATTTAAATTAATTAAAAGGTGATTTTCATTAAAAATTAAATTAAATTTAAAATTGAAGTCAAATAATATAACTTTTAATTTTCATGGATATATGATTGAATTCTTATCAATTACATATATTATATGAATTTTTATGATTTAATTTGAATTAATGGTGCATTAATTAAGATCCTAAGTTAATTTTAAGGGTTGAATTTGGGTCTTCTAAATGGTTGACCAAATGGGCACAAATTCCAGTGAAACTTGGGCCTTGAAATCACCATGAGTTCACCTGATCTCAAGGCCCAAGCCAACTAAATTTTGGCCCAAGATGAATCCTTTAAGATGGTTAACCAAACCACCTAAGGTAACCTTAGGGTCATGTTAAAAATCCAATATAGGCTATCTAGGCTAGATGGGGGTGCAATTGGCAGCCATCTAACCCTCACACTAAGCAAAATTAACACACCAAACCATAGCTCCTAATCCACATTGGAAAGATAAATATGTTAATTTGAATTTAAAGGTCAAACCATGACCCTTAAATAAAAAATAACCCAAACTTGCCCTCAATTAAATCAAACAGGGGAGACAATTTTAGACATGTAAGAGACATTCCCAAGATCAATCCCCCAAAATTTCAATCCCTGAATAGTTATCCTAATGACTTCTTTATCCTAGTTTCCACCATCAAAACCTCTAAGGTTATGAATTGGAGGGTTTAGTTGTACTAGATTAATAAAACCTTCAACTATAATGTAAGATGAATGTGCTTCTTTTTAATATGGTTGTTAACTATGAAGGTCTTATGCAACAGTTAATAGGCACTTGTAATTGCTATAGTTTTTCTATATTTGATATGATATTCAGTCCTTGCTTGTAAATAGTATTCTTCCTACATACCTATGTTCACATGGGACCCAAAATCCCCGCAACATATCTACTATCATCACTGCTTGTGGACATCTGCAGGGAATATTATCATTGCAAGAAAGTTTAATATGTTAGCATACTGATGTAGACTACTAGTTAAGCTACATTCATCACTGGTTCCCTGTGCATGTTGGTCAACAAGTTATCATTCAACACATATTTATACCTTATGA